TGCTGCTTCACCCATCAGGGAGCAGACCCGCAACGCGTGACCTCAGCACTTCATTAAGTGTTTTACGTGATTAGCACAAACAAGTGATAGATCATTAGCTGAAAAAAAGTGTTGGAAAATAAAGAAGGAAAACCATGTCTTAGTATGGCATGTCTGCACGTGGGGGAGAGGCAATGAGAGCAGGGGGGTGCCTGCCCTGCGGTCTGGCTCCTCGGCACATGCCAGCATCCCGCACCCATCTCTGCCTCCCGCACCCTCTGCCATCAGGGCTTACAGCTCCACGTTTGGGAAGGGAAGAGACCTGTTGAGCCCTGTTTCTCCTCCCTAGTGCAGGGATATTCCTTCCAACAAGCCCTGCAGTATTTTGATCATGCTGTTTTAAATTTTGTGTTTATAGCCCTTGATTAGGCGGTGAAATCTTCTGGAGACAGCAATCCCTGCCCTGGCGCCTGCCATGCGTTTGATTGAGCCTCCGCTCATTCCCAGATTAAAAATAACAAAATTTGCTCTTCTATCAAGAGCTGCAAAAATCTTTGGCCCCAATTCCGCTGATGCTTATATAATCTCCGTGCTGAAGCATGCCCACCGTTTCTCACAGGGTTAGTTCTCGATTGCTGAAGGTGTACGTGGGAGCAAAGTCAAACCTGCCACATGTGAAAGCAGTGCTGCAACAGTTGGAACTCGCACAGAGAGCAGCTACAGCGAGTAAAAAGGGTGCCAGCCTCGGAGTGATAAAATTGCTCTCGTCCTACAGGGCTTATTTAACTGAAATGCACTGAGCTTTCATACAGTAAAAAAACCTACCGTCTCTGCGACATACAGACAATTAATACTTCAGGACTGAATTATAAAGCCACTTTTTCTCAGTACAACCAGCACTTTTCCTCTAAGCTTCAGTCTCTCCCTCTGAAAGCAAGAAATCGGAGAAGCTTTTCTGCACATGCAAGAACTGTTAGTGTGGGCTCCATGACAGGCTCACCATTAAAACGGGAAGAGTTTTAATGTGGGGGCACTTGGTGACCCCAAGAGATTTGCCATTGGTTTTGCCCTGCAGTGCCATTAACCCCACGCCTGCTGCTTGATCGCTGGGGGCTCCCAGCCCTGGCTGCACCCACACGTCTCACCGCCTCAGCAGAGGTCAGCGAAGAACCGACGAGCCCGTTACAGCAGCAACGCTACCAACTCCTCTTCAATATTTTATTTGGTGCTTTTTTTCCAGATAGAAACCGTTAATTGAATTTGTCTGCCCCTGAAAAACAAGGGGCAGCTCATGCTGGGCACCGGCTGAGAAGAGCCACGGCATGAGCCCTCTCACCAGTGCTGTGCCGGTGCCTCCCAGCACCAACCCACTCCCGGCACCGACCACTACTCCGGCCAGAAGGCACGGCGTAACCCTGCTCCCGTCCTGGCACCCCACGTGGCTCCCGCAGTGCAGCACGTCTCCATCCCGGCAGCACCCAGCGCTACCCAAGCCTGGCTCAGCTTGTGCACAGAAATGGGGTGCGCTTGCGAGAGGAATGCTAAGAAATGCATTTCTGCGTTAAATCATCAGGGTCAGAAGTGTTTCTCTTTTGCCGTAAGAGCTATCTGAAACCAGGTGCAGCGGGAAGAGAGCCTGTAAAAGCTTCCAATAAGCACTCTTAAATCGTGTGGTTAAAGAACTCCGAATAAGCGGCTGGAAGCAAAGTTTCTTTATCCTCATCTCCCCCGGTCTGGGCTGTGCAACTGTTGCTTCTGTGCTTTGTGGGAGTGAAATCAAATGTCAAATATTCTGCTCTGGAAGAGGTTGGCAATGAAACGCGAAAGGCTCGTGGAGAGCTCAAAAGGGCTGCGGATAACTGGAGTGAGGCACAGACAGGGCTGGGCCAGAAGCCAGGCGGGTGGGGAAGGACTCCAGATTTTAGGATGAAGCAACTACTTTCCCTAATGCATTCCAGCATAAAGCTGATCCTAGCTGCTGCTAGCACAGAAGGAAGATGGGCTTCATACCGAAATGTTGCATCTACTCTTTGCTGGGAATCAGCCACACTTCTCCATTTATTCAGCATGATAGAGCGTCCCATTTCATCGCTGGTCTGTGCCCAACACCGCAGCCGCAGGAGCTCAAGACCTGCTACCGATCAGTAGTGGGGAGCACAGGTTCCTCAGCTGAATTCCACAAAAAAAAAACATTTTGTGAAAGATATGTTTTGACATAGGCATGTATCCTAGTTCTTCCTCAGCAGATATTTAAAATCACAGGCTCTGGACAATCCTCCCCCAGTATGTTAACATGCAGCAGATCACCGTTAAGAACAGCTGCTCTCTGTGTCTTTTTACTGGGGCAGAATTTCATTTTGTTCCAGATTTCAAGACTTCAGAAGACATTTTTACTGTATATTCTCAGTAATTTTGAGGGCACTTCCCATTTGCAGCCTCAGCCCTCTGAAGCTGGTGGACCTTTCTCCTTCTTTTGGCACTGACCCCTTTTCAATCACCAGGCTCCTTTATATAGCACTCAGGAAAAAATATATTCTCCCCTCCACTTTGCTGAACTATCACATTGCCAGGATTAGGGCAATGGGGTCACAGGAGCTGGCAAAATCTGTATGTAGTGGCATGCCGGGACTTCTGGACCCAAAGCACGCATCTTTACAAGGGCAAAAGGCAAAATCCTACAGCAAGTCCAGCAAGGAACGAGGGACCATGTCCCCCTGCTGCTGCAGTCTCCCCCAAGGCGAGTGTTTTGCCAGACCCATGGCTGGAAATGGAATTAACGTTCCAGAAATATTCTATTATTTGCTAATTGTCTTCACATCTTTTTGTTTCACAATTAAGCAAATTAGCACTTTGATGAATATTAAGATGCTCTCGCCTCATAAAAGATGAGTTGGAGGCATTCCCACTGGATCTTCCTCTTAAGGAAAACAGTTCCTCAACTGTCTGAGATACATGCTGGATTGTTTCCTCCCTGGCATGAGCATGAGGAGCACATGGCTCCCAGGGAAAATGACCACAATATTAACATTTTAATAAAATAATTCAATTTCAAAATTTGCATAGATCCTCTTTATTACCATCTAATCCCAGTCCAAGCTGGAATGGGATCCCAAATTTGTGGTTGTTCATGGCAGTTTCTATCACAGAGTTCCTATAACAAGCATATAAAGCCTTCTTTAACCACAGGGATTCATTCAGTCCAGTCTTTTAGTAGGAAGAAGACTTTGCACTTTTCTAAAGTACTTCTTCCCTGGCTTTAAATAACTTTATAACCAAGTTAAGTACTTGCCAATTTTTTTGTTGTGCTACAGGTTAGCAGAACACTTTTGCTGGCTTTGGGAGGAGCTGTAAGCTCCCTTGTGCAAGGCGAGCTGTTACGATAGCTGCTCGCTCTCCACCTCCATCAGTAGATCTTTGAGCACTTCTCTCGCCGCAGCGTCTCTCTCAGAGCAGGTGGGAGGGAGGACAGATGTTTGTTTACCAGCAGACATGGAAAGCTGTTAGTGACCAGAGGGTTAACTCCACACAGAACAATTTAATAGCATCCAGACATCTTCAGATGCAACCCTTCTCCTGGCTCCACCACCCACAAAGCACCAGCTCTATTAATCTGAATTACAGAGTCGTGAGTAATAGACAATAAAATGTTCAACAGAGTCGGTGAACCCAGAAGTCTGACTTAATGGTGGGGACTTCGTGTGTTTTCTTGTCTCACAAAAGAACAGAAGGTCCCAGATTATTTACATTGTGCTGGCTCCCCTGAGCAGCAGACTCCTGTGGACCACTGGCCATAAATTCCCATCATAGGAATTTCAGTTTTGCTTTCTACAGTCTGGTCCCTCTTTGCAGAGCAGGAGCTTACCTGTCTCAGAAACAGGCTCATGGGAAGGGCCGTGTGGACAGTAAACGGTGACGAGTCCCAGAGACACCGGCACAAGCCAGGAGGCAGGGACCCAGTCCCGGGCTCTCCCTCTGGGATGCTGCGTGATGGCTCACGTGGATGCCGAGCAAGATGAGGCTCTCGCTTGTGAGACCTGCCTCACGGGTTTGCCAGTCCCCAGAGAAGAGTTTGTGTGATGAAACTGTCGCCAAAGAAATTGCCTCTCGGGAACGAACAGTTGTCCCTAGTCTGCAGACTGCGGCTGCTTAAGACTGATGTCTGTGAACCGCGCTGCCCTGGTCAAAGCACCATGAGCGTGTTCACACCACCCCAACGCTATAAGCTACGTTAAATGAATACACTAAGCACTAATGAATTTTCCTTGTAATGCCACGGTATAATACAGGAAAAAACTACTCCCATTTTTTAAATGAGACATTATGGTAAAGATTACATGATTTGTTCTTGATTACGCAGCGCCAAGAAGGGCCGGTCGCTACGCCGGGGGCGAGGCTCAGGCAGGAGACCAGCCCCCTGCCCCGCGCAG